CCCCACCCATACCCCAAAATGAAAACTGGTCCACTGAATCTGTGTGACTTAGAAAAAGCTGGTCCACTGCAATGTCCACAGGTCACAAATGAAACACTGATCCTACCCATTGACTTTTGCTATGTCTTTGCAATTATTTTTATTGTCTTTCCACTGGGTGTGGAGCTGGTCTGATCATGAAGCGATTTTTATGTGTGTGAGGGGGTGTGGGGGACTGTAACAGAATTCAGCCTCTGGCTCTGTCATCAGGTTGCTATCCTCCTGGCACAGCATTGCTTCACCTTTCCCTCTAATAAGCAGGTAATGGTCTTCTGAATACATCCGTCTTTCCAGAATGGCAGGTTTGTTACAAGGTGGCACAGATATACAGAAAACAGTTCTTGTAGAAAGCCATCATCATTCGGGGGAAGTTCTTTCCAGCTATCTGAATGAGAAGAGCTGGTATTTGTGCCAGTTGTGCTGCAAGGCACAGGAGGAAGCTGGAAATGGGTGGAAGGGCATTGCCAGACTGCATGTTGAAAACTTTAAGGCCACCTCTGATTGGCCTGATAGCCAACTTTGTGTGGGAAGATACATGATATATCTCAGTAATTGCTTTAGGCACGCAGTGAAAGTCTTGCATGTTTCACACACAGAAACACCGAACATTTCCATCAATCACTCCTTTAGAAGGGAATGTATATCTTCAGAAACTATGTATAAACATTGTTGGAGGTGGGGTGGTTTATACCATGCATATTGTTAGTCACGCATAACTGCATGCAGTTGTATTTGGACTAAGGCCATGGAAGGACTTTCTGTTTCAGGAATTTGTTATTTTAACAAAACTATGTTATTTGTCTAGTTATTAGTTTGTGAAAATATAATCATTTTCCTCCTTCAATCATTTTCATTCTGTTCATCTGTTTTCTTTTCTTGTTGGTTCAAATGGGAGATGCAGCTACTCTTTTGCCTCCTGGAATGTCTGTATTTTCTATGTAAATGGCATGAACCTTTCAGGGATTTACTGCCCCTACAAGGAATCAGATCTGCCAGATTTCATATGAATAGATTGAAGTACCCCTGTATTACAGGCCATTAGATAAGAAAAAAAGAAAGATCAGCATAGGAACCTGCAAATGATGAACAACTACGAAGAAAGAACTCATGGGTAAACAAAATAGAGATGAAAAAAGCACAGCTCATGTCTCCTTTTATAGATTTTCACAAGTCTAGTTACTGTCATATGGAAAAAAGGCCTATTAGAATGTTGGCTATTATATAATTAGAAATTTGGCTAATATGCTTAATTGAAAATTGGACAGCTTTGTCTCAGTTGCCTTTCCCCTGATCTTTCTAACTCTCCATGTAAGAGTTATCAGTGCAATTCTGGCTGGTGGAAGAAACAATTTTAAATTGTTTAAATTAGAGGTTTTCATTTGTTACGAAATGAACAAATTGGCATATACACTGCCATTTGATTCAGGAACCTGGACTGATTCAGCAAATATTTAGCAAATATTCAGAGAATATTTGACATTAAAACTGCAGAGGAAAGATCTGAGGATATTACTTAGCTGAAAGTTTGTTTCAGCTATAGTTTTGGTCAACCTTTAATATAGTAAATGTTCCTTTATTTTAAAAAAACACCATCTGTTTAATTTCCAGGACTTGCCGCTGGTTTATCATGTAGTTGTCTCGGTTTATTGCTGCCTGCCATTGGTATGCTTCTCTATTTGGAATTCTGAATGTACCTGGAGTTAACATGTCCTCAACTTTGTGCAAAAGACCTTTCACCTTGAGAGAATTTCAATTCTTTTTTGATTCCTGTGGCACCATCGTAAGCCAAATAAAGTTCACTTTCAAGCAAATTATCCTCCTGATTTAACTATGGACGTTAAAGACTGAGGCATCCAGGAACTCCTTCATCAAGCAACTCAACTTTTGAACGTTTGAGGAATGATTTTTAACTTGTTCCAATTATGCCTTATAAAACACTTGTGCTGATCTGTGACAGTTGCATGGTTCGGTCCAATGGGGCAAGTTACAGTGTTAAATAACATAGGCTGTACAGTAAAAATAAAATCACCACACATAGGTGCTGTAACTTTAATAACAAATTGTGAAAACATAATAGAGATTGAAATGTTGATTGTATGTGGTATATGTAGGAGTAACTACGTCTGTCCGTACTATCCTATCTGTTTTGTGCACTGCATATTTTCGAATGGCCCCTGTCATGTATGACTTTTCAGGTTTTTAGAGATACAGTCAAAGCAAAAACAAATACTTTTTTTTTTACAGATTTCGTTCTTGAAGTGACTAATTGTGGGTTAAGAGCACTGGGATATAAGTTCAGTAGCCATTGATGTTGTTTCAGATGGATTTGGAACTCTTACATGAGTAAAGGATTTTCCAGCACCTTAATTTTAAGATGATACTTTAACACTACACAGTTTTAGAAATAATTCTAGTCAAGCCAAATGTGAAACTTCGCAGTCACAGAGAGATGTATTTTGCTGTAAGTGATATGAATTGCTATATAAGCAAATTTGCTTATTGCCATGTTGAATAATTCCACTCTATCATATATGACAAGATTTAAACTCCAACAGTATAAAGCAGCCTTTTTTTCACTAGCCAATACAGAAATTTGAAAAATGATTCTATGGTACGATCCATATTAAAATGGAGAGAGTATTTAAAGTGGTATTCAAATCATTAGTAACAAATGGGATATGCAGTAAAGACAAAAAACAAAGTAGCACATAGCAAAACTTATCCTGAGATTTATTTTTTTGTGACACACATATTGCCTTACTTTAGTGAAGGCTAACCATTAGGAGAATGATTTGCATTTTCCAATAAATTAATATTGTTCTACTTACTAGAGCTGTAAATAAGAGTTGTAAAGTTCTAACATGATTTCCCCTATTTAATATCCCAAGAGATAGATCTTATTAAAATTCATGCAGATCTCCACCATTCTATCTGCTTTAAGTATTAGTTATCTTTTCAGAATTGGAAAGGTAACTAAAACTGGAATACTCATATGAGTTACAGAATGTCTTTGTTCTGACTGTTTCTGTGCTGTGTGTAAAGCTATTAAAAATACCTATTTCTTTCTGAATCCATAGTGTGCTGGGAATTTGGTGTGAGTGTTGTGGGGGGAATTTACCCCCCCCCCATGATATTGAATCAGCTGGGTCAGTGATAGTGCAATGTCTGAAGCTTCAAGAATGATAAGCTTTGAATCATATTTTATTAGCACAGTCTTGCTAGCTGCTTTAGTGATAGAATTTAACTTTTAGGACTGATACGGTAGATGCCCATAATAATACTATCTACATGAAGCAAGACCTGTCGATACTTTACACCTCTCCTTTAATTTGTATGATTTTTCTACTATGTATCTACATTCTAAAAATCTAGACTTGTACTCATGAAAAATATCAATAATACTGTTTTACTTTAATTTTGACTCTTTGTTACAAGTTGAAACTTTTTTAAAAAGTAGGTGAAAATGAGAATTTCCCTATAGAAGAATGTTAAAAGCTACATAAGCATTACTGACTTTCATAAATTGTGTAATTATTTTAAAGATACTAAATGGCATCATTCATAAGGAACTAATGCCTCAGAAGTATTCTGTGATAGAGTTTAATTTGGTTTAGTTTTCATGCAGTATGACTTATTTTTATATAACCCACAAACACTTTTTTGCCAAAATGCATGATTGCCTTTTAATTTTCTAACATGTGATATAAGGAACAAAACCAGATTGTTTTTGCATGAGGAAAATTTGAACGGCCAAAGCACACTTTTTTGATTTAATCTCCAGCAAGATGTCATCACTCATGTTAATTAGTTACTCCCAGATTTACATTGTTCCACACTATTGTACAGATTTTACTGGGACATTCAGTTCCCAACTGTTGTCAGCACAATTAACTATACACTGTATCATCTGCTTTACAATGCAAGGTTCTTAATTAAAGTTTATATAGACACATTGGTTGTTTCTTCATATTTCAGACAATATTGGTCTTAGTATGATTTGATACTGGTAATTTTTGCATTTTTAAAAAAGTTACTTTTTATCATTTTATTTCCTATTGAGTAGAACTGGACCATGCTCTGTCCATTTTATGGTTGAAAAATAAATTATAATTAAATAAATGTATTAATGGTACTCCAGACGTAACAATTGTCATTTGCCTTTTCCAAGGATTTAAGTAGATTTATTTGTATGAGAAAGAGAGAGAAAGAGGGTGGAGAGAGTGGAAGATACTTTACCCATAGAAACAAAAAGAAGTTCTGGAAGCTTTTTATCATCATAGGAACTATGAATTAATTGAACCTGCACATCTTTTCTTAATAATTAAGTTTCCCCATTCAAACTGATTATGCTTGGAACATCACCATGTTAATTTTTGGCTATTAAAATATTTTAATCACTGCTTTAATCAAAGTAATTTATCTTGTCTGCAATATTGCTTGATAGCTATTATAACTGTATTGGATAGATGTGGACAGAAAGAAAGACAGTGCTGTGAAATTGTACAATTATTTGCATAACAACCAAAGATATAAAACTTACTCGAGTTATAGTGCCGGTCTTGTTTTTATGGATTTTAGCTAGGGTTGATCAAAAAGTACACACTGATTCTTATGAACATATTTAACCATTTAAAAAGTTGCACAACCTTCCTTTTGAAATTCTTTTGGTGATACACCCAAATCATTTGCCTACTTGGAAACCACTGCCCAATTGACTTCCTTCAACAAAACAAATTTAGAGTCAAATTTTAAGTAGCTCGGTACTGTTATGACTGTCACGATGTGATCCTGTTAACTGATTGATTGGTATCCATGGGTCAGAGATAAGAGATGAGCCTTTGTATATGCTCAGTGATGTCCCCACATGGCCAGATCTGATCTGTTGTGAAGCACGAATCAGCCGCAAATGGATGTACAGTCCTTCTCAGAAATGCCTCTGCGAATGGTACGGTGTTGCTCATGAAGGCCCTTTGTGAAAAACAATGAAAAGAAGCCACACAGCCAAGGGGAGTTATACTAGTATTTCAAGGAGGGCAGCAGGCAAAAGGCTTGAGCAAAGTTCCCCACCCAGGCTCCCAGGCATTCAGGCCATAAGCGTTAATCTTCATTTCATCCCTCCTTTCAGCTCATATGAAATGGAAGAACTTGGTGGTGCCCTAGTTCTTTACAGCAAGCATTTACATTCATTTGGTTTCTAGACTGTATCTCCCAAATGGTGAGTTCTTCAGAGCTTTCTTTTTGCAAGTCTTTGTCTGAAAGCGCAGTCATGAAACTAGGAACATGAACGTGTGAACAAGCCCCCACGGAATAGTTTTGGTGTGATGTGACATACCTCAAGAGAAGTTTTTTATGTGCGTGTGGGAGGGAGAAAGTTCTAGAATTCTCGTACGGTTCCAGTTTGTTGTCTGCATGACTGCAATCACAGTTGCATGGGGAAGACATCAGGAACAGGTAGGTAGCTCTATTTTTATTAACTATTAATTTCACTGCTATAATGAAGATTGTACAATTTGAATGATTAGCCTTATGCAATCATTTGTTTGCCATTAACCTGTATCATCTGCTTGTTTATTTGAAGCGTTTCCACACCAGTTTTCTATCGCAAAAGGTTCCTAGAGCGGCTTACAAAGACTGATTATAAGATAGGACTTGTCCTTGGGTTTACAATCTAATCATGGTGCAAAAAACGGGAGACTATGAGGGATAGTGGAAAAGGCAAAGAGTAGTTATATAGGTGTTCTTTGTAAGAGGGAAGGGGAAAAGCTTCTTGCAGCTGCTCATTTTCTGGGTGATAGATCCCTCTGGTGGAGATACTCCTTCTGGGAGATAGTGGGCACAGCCTTCCAGTGGAAATTACATATGAAGGACTTAAGCACACCCTTCAATTAAAAGTCTTGCATATACAACACAAAGTTGTTACAAGACCTGTGATGTATTGTTAGCTTAAAGCTGGCTAAAGCTAACTCTGCCAAAGCCAAGATTCTGACATTTCTGATTTCAAAGTTGGGTCTAATTTATTTTAGGCAACAGCTGGATCAGCTCCAAAGAAACTGAAGGTGGAAGCCGTGTGCAGAAAATCTACCCATTGCATAACCATGTGCACGTTTGCAGCGTATTTGTAATTGGAAAGGCATTCGAATAGTAAAAAGCTGAAGGTCAGCAAAAGTAGGTTATGCATTTTCCAATATGCTTTTTTTTAGCTAGCTGTTGTAAACTGTATGCACCTGGTGACAATAAACAAGAGAAAATTAATTTCAGACTGCAATACTCATGCAGCACAAGGGATGGCATATGGACCACCATAATGTGTTTCAGTGCAAGATTTGTTATTCTATGATATACTATCCTTCCATCTGTCTTGGAAAGGAAGAGAATGAAATAAGAGCCTTTGGATTATTGCTTATTGTCTTCTTTCTTATTTCCAATGTATGGGAAAGGTATCAGGCTGATAAATCCTGACCTGATGGCTCAAGCTGGGTTTACACAAATGCTACAGAATATGTGGACGGAAACTTAGTGCAATGCTATTGCAAAAGGATCGGTGTAGTTCTCTTGACAGAGTTAACACAATGTAGTCAGAGTTACCACACATTTTTAAGGGACAAAAATGTATGGCAGAAGGTTTAATCCCGCTCCTCACCTTCAACAGAGTGCTGTGGTCTGAATCAGAATTGGGGCAGAGGGTGCT